CGGTTCGGGATCCAATGGACCCTGGAACAAGAATTAAGTAATTTGTGTTCGCTGCGCCGTAAACTCAGCCGTAAACGCCGTCGAAAAAAATATTTACTTAAAAAAAAATCGAACTTAAGCAGGTCAGTCAGTCAGTCAGGACATACGTCTTTATATATATAGATTGCGTTCTGTGAGAGTTCTGTTGATCTTCTTTCCACCCGAACCCCACAACGACCTTGTGGTACCGTAACAATATTTTGATGATTTTTCCCTCAACATCTCCACCTACTACAGGATGGTTCAGATGAAAATGGAATTTCTTAAATTATCGCTGAGCAAACTTTGACACGGTTGTCATAACTTCGTGATACCAACAAATAATTTATTTTGAAAAATAAAATAAATAAAAATCACACGGCATAGGAAATGGTTAAATTTCCCAAGCCAGTTCCTGATATTGAACCGATGTTACATCTCGTCCAGAACAATTTGAAAATATTTCCGATTGCAAGTTCTGAGTGCGGGGATAACGTAATGAGACTGTCCTCTATGTGTCTTGTTATTACGTTCAATTATCATCATTATATATTTTTTATTAACTTATTCTCATGTTCTATTATTGTAGGAATTCGGTTGGAAATAAATAAAAACTTTCTTCAGTTGAAGATTCTCTGCATTTTCCAATCTCTGCCCGAATGAGAGCATCGCCTGCATCACATCCGGCCAAGCCATTCAGAGACAAAAAACAGCTGATGTAAGAAAGCGAAAATCACTCCTCGCTTCAGGCGAGAGAGAGAGAGAGAGGGAGAGAGCGGATTTCAGAATGACTGGGGCATTTAAACTCGGCGTTGGCCTTCATCCTCCCGTCTCCAGTTGGCCAGGATGCCTCGGGGGAAGGGACCATGTGGATCGCACGTGGGCGGCCGGTGGGGGAGTCTCCGCCCGAGTTCCTCAATACTTCTTTTAACTTGGAGTATTCAAATTTAGTCTATTCGGCAGCAAAAGGCACATTTAGTTGAGGACGAAAGATTTGATCGATGCGGCGGTGAAAGGCAAGGAGTCAAAGAGATTCGTGTATATCTGGCCTCGGGCAGGTCATCGGGGGGCTAAAGGTTCATGACACGCTTCAGTGTTGTCAGATGAAGGACAACACCTTTCAGTCAGCTGAGAGAGATCCGTTGGGACCCGATTGAACGAAAGAAAGTCGGCAACCCTGATTTTCAAGGAAAATCACCACGTCTCAGGTGAGGGGGGCATTAGTGATTTTTAATGACCGATGTTCCCCTTTGACCATCGAAGCCGCAAGTGTCTCTTTTGAGGGCCGAATGGACTACAACATTCCAGACGTTTCTCTGGGTTTCATGGAATTACGGGTGAAGTCCTCAAGCGACCTGCACGAAAAATTCCGTAGCTATTATGTGTTGCACGTTCAGTCGACTCGTGAATATTCCAAGCGAACCGCACGGCATTGCATTTACTCAAGGTTCTTCCGGCAGACTGCGAGCGTGAAACGGCTCGATGGCATTTTTCGTGTCAAGGTTTGCGTCTCCGAGACTCGCGAGATGCTCAAGGGCATGAATGTCCTTCTCGTCGGGTTCATTGCCACGAGGTCGGGAACGATTGCCTCGTCCCTGTCGATCCAGGCTCTGGGATCGCCGACTACGATGGGCCACGATCGGTTATGTGAGCGATTGAGGCGTTCGATTCGTCCGGATGAGATTTGAGCGTGGGATTACTCAATGTTGAGTTCGTGCCAGGCGTGGCCGCCCTTTGTTCTAGCTGGAATTCGTTATTCTCAGAAACAATGAGTCCCCCTCGTTACACATTCCTCGGAAGAGTGGAGTCTCTTCCTTCACTGAAGACTTTCATATTAAAGTGAGTTCGATGTTAACCGTGTCGATTTTCCTTCCAAGACTAGACGAGATTTGAGCACGATGTGCCGATCGGAAACAGCGATAGAGAGCCTCTCTAAACGGTAAGAAACATTTGAATTCAAGGCTCTAACTTCCACTGGGGGAAGCGATCAACAACATACCGGTAATAATACAAATATGTAGGATTTTCCTAAAAATTAGTCTTGTACCAGGAATTTGAAAGCACGGGAGCGAAGAAAGAGGAAAGACGCACCCATTCGCCTCTCCGACCGAGCCCGACGCTCTCATGTCTCGACAGCTCCAGGCTTCCAACCGCCTCTCACATCATCACTTGAGCGCCGAACTAACCGCTCTAGGTGCGTCCTCCACCTCGCAGGAGGCACGACTGAGATTTGCCTCGGGAGTCGGGCTAGTCTCTCCCCCGAGGTGAAGAAGAAGGGAAGGAAGGGACGGGAGCGAGCAAGGATGGGACGCATCTGCGACGCCGCAGGCTATCACGCACACATAGGGTAATTATTCTCTTCGTTTCCAGCCCTTGCCCTAATTCCCCCTCTCCTCTTCCCCTCCCTATCCCATGTGCATTGCAGTGCTGCTTTCGATGTTTTGTATACTGAAACTTGACCCTGATTGGCGTGGTACATGCAAGTACGTGGCATTGGGTTCAATGGGGAGCCTTTAAGAGACGTAAATATTAGGCGCAATCTGCAGATTGTCTTCCAAAACCCAAATGAAGTGTTTGCTTGGGGGTTGGGAAGAGGCGAGACCATCATGTGAACTCCCCCCCATGTTGTTGGGGTCAGCTGGTTCTCTTCGAGAGTTCTGCCCAGGGGAGAAACGTTGCATTCACGCAACTGGCACGCCTCAGAGTCTGGATTCTCTCGGTGAACCGAGTTTGAATCCCTGAAACGCATGAAAACCAGTAACAGGAAAATTGCTTCATGTATTATATGAGCGGGTGAGGAAGGAAATAGCGAGCGGCTTCGGCTTCGTGAACGAATGAGGGAATCCCTCGCACGCACGCACTCCGATCACTGCCCTCTCCGGACAAAGGTAGACCGGATTTCCTCCCCCCCAACACCAGCCCCCCTCCTTCCCCCCCTCCCTCCCCCCTTCCTCCCCCCTTCCTTCAACCCTTCCCATACTCTATGGCTTTAGGCGGTACTGACGTGGTGGGCGTGCGTTGTGGAAATGCAAATTACGCTGACGCTGATTCTCCGTGATTCTGGCATGCTCCTTATATGCATCACCGCTCCTTAAGTTTCTTTCCCTCGCACGGGTCAAATACAACATGTTTTTGCATACGCGCTATCGAATTATCATTCATTGGAAAAAGCTTGTTTCATCGAAACAAATAGACACGATGAATGAGAGCACCATGCATGCCCTGCCCAATACGAAAAGCGGATAGTCCTTGCGGCTGACACTGCTCTTTTGCATTACATGAGCTCCAAGACGGTTCAAGACCTCTGGTCGAATGGAAGAAAAATTCATCGCTTCAGCGGATGAAAAATGTTCCATGAGGATGAAATGATTAACATTTTTGTCCGATGTCACAAAAATATTCAACCTTTCCCTCGATTTCATTTGTAATCCTGTGACAACGGTTCGGGATCCAATGGACCCTGGAACAAGAATTAAGTAATTTGTGTTCGCTGCGCCGTAAACTCAGCCGTAAACGCCGTCGAAAAAAATATTTACTTAAAAAAAAATCGAACTTAAGCAGGTCAGCAATAAAAAATTCCAGGCGGAAGAATTTGCAGTTCCAGGAACTGAATTCTTTCCCTTCGTGCACCTTTCAAGGGTCCACAGCAACTTTAAAAAATTTTTGGTTTTCCCATGAATGCAGCGATTACAGGGTGCTTTTTGGCCAAAAATATATATATTAAAAAAGCTGGTATATCAGGGGACGTTCGCATTTAGTAATTATATATAAATTTTAAAATGATATGCTAAAATATGTTATTAATATATTTTAATTATCCAAATGTTGCATTTCGAAAAAGACAACACAGACGATTCATCAAAATTCTCCAAACAAGCACGAAAAACGAAGTGAAGGAAAGATGAAGAAGATGGACAATTGGCATCAATTGGCATAGGAAGAGATTCTTTTTGCCAATCCTTCGGGCAAAACAATAAAATAAATTGGGAAATACCTGGAAGAAATATTTTCAAACTTGCTCAGTTTGCATAGCAATCGCACACTCTCTGGAAGGCCAGATGACCCACACTCCAGTGAAGCCAAGTGGTAATGAATGCCCATCGGAGTTGGTCCGTGCGGCGAACGGGTATTTAGAGTCCCTTCCATATTTAACCGACAGAGACGAGAAGAATGCTCGCTCGTCTTGCGTCAGTTTTGTATGAAACCTGAAATAGGGGATCCAGTGCCTCTGATACCTGTGAAGAAGCCTGCTGTAGTTCGGATAACCCGCGAGGAAGACGTCCTTGTTTTGAATGCTAACAGCGTCATCCTTATTAGGAAGGCCCGTCTCGGTCTAATTCCTCTCTTGACATCCCGTCTCGTTCGCCCTCCTCAGGCTGAGATGGGGGAAGAGCGGGAGGAGGCTCTGCGAGTGCCACTGAGCACGGGAATCTTTCCTTACTCCAAGTCGTACGAGAAGACGGTGTCTTCTCGTACGGCCGGGGGTACGGGAAGATCCGGTAACGAACGTCACGTTTCGGCACTGCTCTGCGGTCAATAGGAATTCCGGCCAGATCTGGGATTCCTTTAAGGACTCAGTCGAAGACAGCCGCGTTTTCAGGGTCCGGTTCAGCAATCGCTCCTTTCTCGCGTCCCTCCCTGGACGATTTTTCCCTGAATATTCAGCACATTCTGTCTCGACCGTCGAGACGGTGAAGGAGATTGCACCAGGAAAACTGGCGTCGTCAACGCGACCGATTCGAAGGCGTAGTTCACTTTCCTTGATCGGAGCAACATCCTGCAAATCCGATAAATGCGTGGATCAAATGCTATATTCTTTTTAATATAAAATATTTTAAAAGTTGTATTTCCCTGCTTTATTACATTAAAATTTTTTTTAATTATTCAACGACGAAAGAGAAACCTCTCAGTTAGAACGCTGAAATATAAAAATGTCGATTTGGAAAAGACTTCAGAATGCATTTGGCTTTGGAGGGAATGGGGTTTGATGCAGAAACTCGAACTGTTCGGCGACGCGTATTATTTGGCACGTAAATAATTGCACTGAGTCGGTTCCGAAACTTGCAATTCGAGCAAACTGACGTTTGTCACGAGGAAGAGATGTTGTGCGTGCCGAGTGACGTCCATTATCCACGATCAGACTCTATCGATGAAAGAGAAAGTCATTCTGAAGAGGGAAGGAAATCAACTTCCAAGGTCAGGCATGCTTCAGACTGAGCTATGGCTTATTGATCCGGCCACGTGGACCTGATCCGGCCACGTGGACCTGATCCGGTCACGTGGACCTGATCCGGTCACGTGGACCTGATCCGGCGACGTGGACCTAGTTCGGCAAGGGAAGGGAAGGCTTTCTGCCAATGATTTTTACAGCTGTAACATTGATTACGAATGGACCTTGGGTTTTACTGGTTGAAAGAAATAACCCAATATGCATTGGGATATGGAATCATCTGCAAGTTCAACTTGCCAGGTATTTGCAGAGGCTGCCCGTTCGCGATAGCAATCGCTGGCTTGCGCCGGCAGGTATGAAAAATGAGATTAATTTTCTCTCTGGATGAATTCGGCTGGAACCAGCGTTAATTAAAATTTCTACTGGAATGAAAATGGGTGGCGTTCGGCCGGGAATGAAATTCACACCGGCAGGATGAGGGCAGGGATAGGGGGCCAGTGATTGCCTAGTCACGCCGGTCGGCTTCCATTTCCTGAGCTTGGGCATTTTCCGCACAACCACGGGAAATTGAGTTTACGCAGCAACTTTCCCTTTTTTTTCACAGACCTGCATCCCGAAGGAGAAATTTCGGGACTGGTCGTGCTTCTTCATAGTTCTTGGAAATTGTGTGAGGTCAGGATGAAGCAAGTGCCATGCTGATGAGCTCCCATACCGTAGTTCACATATCCTGATTAATTTCCGTATTTCTGCCATGTTGGATCCGAAGTAACAGTTAATTACTTAATTTCTTGCACTTCTGGAGAAATATATGCGGTACTTCCCTCAACATATCCGCCTTGTACAGGATAGTTCAGATGAAAATGGAATTAGAATTTAAATTCACAGGTAAGAAAACTTTGCACCGACCGCTGAAACTTCCTGACTACTGCAATGACCTCGGAAAAAAAAATACATTTATGAGACACTAAACATGAAATAAATGTCTCAACCTAGTTCCAGAATATTGAATCGATGTTACTGCTCGTTTAGAAAAATCCTAAGAGAATTCCGAATGCCTTGATCATGAGTTGGAAACTATGATAAAGCTTTTTTCAGTTGAAAAACCTCAGTCTTTTCTGTCCGAATGCGAACATCTGAGCAGAATTTATTTGATACTCTCAATGGCAAGGTGCCAAGAGAGAAGATTTTAGGATGATATGGGCGAAGGCATTTAAACTCGGCGTGGCCTTCACCTCCCCTCTCGGGATGCCTCTGGGGTGTGGGACCACGTGGATCGCACGTGGGCGGCCGGTTCTGGGTGCCTCGGCTCGAGGCTTCCTCCGTACTTCTTTTAACTTGGAATCTTCCAATAGTTGAGCAGACGTTACCCTTACCGGTTTCATGGGTTTTCGGGTGAAGTCATGAAGCGACCATGCAGGGGAAATGCTGTAGCTATTATGTCATGCACGTTTAGCTGACTCATGAATATTCTGGGACCGTCCATGAATCACAAAGCATTGAATTTATTCAAGGTTCACCCGGCGGATTCTTAGCGTGAAATGGCTCGATGGCTTTTCTGGGCTCCCGTCAAGGTTTGCGACTCCGAGACTCACGAGCGTTCTCTCCTTCAGGCTTCTTTCTATCCTCGTCGGGTTCATTGTCTCGAAGTCAAGAACGATCGATGTCTCTTCCAAGACTTATCGATTGTCTTCAAGATCTCGGGCGATTCCTTGTCGATCCAGGCTCTTGGATCGCCATCTACGACTGACCACGATTGATCGAATGAATGAATGAGGCGTTCCACTCGTCTGGATGAGAATTGAGCGTGCGATATTTAAACGTTGAGTACGTGCCTGACATGCCTTTCGTTCTAGCTAGAATTCGTTGATCTCAGAAAACAATGAGAGTTCCCTCCCCCCAATCACACGTTTCTCGGAAGATTGGAGTCTCCACTTTCTCTGACGACTTGGACATTTATATATTTGTAAGCCCCTTGACAGTTTTAGAGCACCGGTTAAATATGCATGCGAATATCCTGTCACGTGACCCAAAGGCGTGGCCCTCCTTTTCAGGTACTCAATTTCGACTCCAAACGCTCAGTTGGAAGTAAATTAGCTACATTATTGATGGACGGTTTAAAAAAAAAATTGAAGGAAATCCTGAGCAATTCACGAAGACTTGGTTTCAAACACTCTTGAAAAAAATGCGGACGAGGTTCAGAACCACAAGGTGTTTGGAAAGCCACCCCATATATTTTGTTATAGCTAGTGCGATTTTTGAATTAGAACAATGTTTCATTTCGTGCCAGAAAAGACAGTCTCTGGATTGGGATTGTGCACGATTCTGTTCCCCTGGGGAAATGTCCTATCCCCAAGATATATATTGCCCCTTGCCAACCGTCGCGCCACCAATAAAGCATTAGACTTTTGGGTTTCGTCGGGGTTCCCTCGGGATGGATAAAGTCGTTTTATCTCCAATGCGAGGTCGATGGATTCGCGACCACTTTCGGGAAGACCGTTTCCTGCATGTTGCATTCGCCTACGTGAGACGAATCGACCGCGTCTCCCCGTGGCGACCCCGAAAACATCAAAACTCGGGTCGGGAAGCGCCGTACCGTGCCCCGTGGCAAGTGCTACGATATGCACTCTACTTCACTGAACATGAACACAATTCATGAAAAGGAATGGTTGGAGGTGGAGTCGCCGCGTTACGACATGACTTTCTCCATAGGCGTATTCAGTTGGATCTCTTTGACAAGGGCGAGCGCTGATTCCTATTTTCATCTATTTTTGCTCCTTTCTACTCTGGAAGAACGAGAATACAAGAAAATAACAGTGATTTTACACTCCTTCCACTCTGTACGCAGATTAAAAAGAGACAGAGACTGGTGTAAGAGCTCGCTTGTTCTCATCACTATAGGCCGTATATTGTCTGTGTAAACATAATAATGACGAAAGAGAGGATGACCCATGTAAAAGATGATAACGATCAGCGGTCCAATGGGGGTGACGAGGAGGCAGTCTAGTAATTATGCATGAACTCAAGGAAGTTACTGCACTTGCTCTAGAGTAAATATCGAGCAAGGCGAAAGGACCAAGCTTGGACTCCTTAAGGAGATCTCTTTCCAACAATGCCATGTGCTTAGATTATTCAAGAAAGCTTATGCGTTATTTGACTGCATGCGCGTCGATGATGGAGGACCCAAGGACATTATACACTAACGGAGATGTTTATTGACTTTCATGCAGCCGACTACACATTTTTCATGAGTTTCAGAACTCAACAATGTGGACGCAACATTTGGTACAATTCTTGGATTCTGTTTTTGAATGTGGGCCTCGCTTAAGTATGGGGCGTGATTTCCTCGAGATGAAGTCCATTTGGCCGATGCCACGGAATCATTCCACGAAAATCAAGATTCATGGGGAAGGCCTCTTTGAAACGAAGGGAAATCAGCTGAACTTTGGGAAAGATCCAAGTTCACTTTTTCGCGTTTTCTCCTCCTCCCGTTACTGATACGAGTGTTCGTCTCACCAGAGAAGACGCCGCATCTCTACCTATAACTGCGGCAATGATTTGTCAGGGCACCGTGCAATGATATATTGTCCCGACAATGATAACCTGCGTTACCAGTTTTCTCGTATAAATGTGGAGACACATCGACCAGGTTGCACAAAGAGAAGGAGGGGCTCGACGATCGCCATCCATGACGTTGACAGGGGAATAAGTGAAGGCGCATTTGCGAGTTGGCGCCATTCGTGGGAGTTTGGAGACGTCGAACTTCCTCTCTCGCTTAGGTGCTTCTCTCCGTAACCATCTCGGCATCTGTGTAAAGGAACTCAATGCGAAACAATTGAATACCTGATGGAAGATTTTTTCAATTGGAGAGAATGACGAACCGAATGGCCAATGATGACGGAATGAAGGGAAGAGAAACGGTGATCCAATTTGAAGATGAAGGGGGAGAAACTGTCGGCTTTGGCCCGGTTACTCACAGATTCCTTCACAGATTCACCGGACATGTGAGTCTTCTTCATATAAAATAGTCATTAAACCTTTCAGATCTGGCGTCTTTTCCGCTAGACTGCACATTTTCAATGTTTCTCTGGTAATTTTTTGGGATTCTCTTGACTTTGTGTCCCAGGTCGCGCTCCGATGGACTCAGTCCTACATGTCTCTTCTCTGTCAGATGCCTTCTCTCACCTGTTACTATTGTAATTTTCAGTTATGTAATTGCATGTATGATTTATAATGTATGGTGTGATATTGTAAATGTATATAATATATAAGAACGATGCATGGAACATAAAAAATGCATTATAGAATAGGAGAAAGAGCTCAAAATGAAAAAAGTACATTATTCCGATGGCTTTAATTCATGTCTGAAAGAGTTACGCAAATGTAACAAAATATTCTTAGCTGAAGAAGCACGTACTATTTTGTTTTGAGCATGAAGGTTCCTGACGCTCAGGCAAATTGGATCATGAATTGGATCATGTAGTAGGCCCCATCGATGGTCTGGCCATGGGGGATGATGAGAGTGGCGTTTCTCCCCGCGTCCTGAATCCACTTGCGACCATCACTTCCAGCGACTTCTTTGGCATTTGTTCATTATGCAATTGGTCAGGATTGGTTGTCCGAATTACTGAATTTCTTAAGTTTGGTTTGGGATGCAGTTTGACTGGAGATTCGAGAGCGCATAAATTATTGGCAAAACCAGATGTGGAATGCCATTGCACGAGATGGTAAGATATTTCTGATAACAAGGCTTTATTTTAAAAGGTTGAAAGCAGTGGAAACGTGCGGATTATATTCCCTCAACGTATCCTACATTTGCATCCATGGACAGCTTCAGATTTTTCAGCTTTGGTACAAAGGTGTACCTGGAAAATATCCAGAGTTTTATGATTAATAGAAAGTATATATTCTGTTTTGGAAAGTCACAGATTAGTGTCCTTGGTCTGCATCGCTATTTCTTATGGCTTTTATTTTACTTTGATCAGCTAATATATGATGAGAAGATGAATAATTTGAACGTCTCACAATTTAGGAGCATCGCGCCCAGTTAAAATAAAATCTTGCCATGGGATCTGTTTTTGTCAAACGTACGTTCCTCAAGTCTCATCAGTTGTATCTACTACCCAATGATATGTTTTGATGATTTACTATTCGTTAGTTACTTCTGAAGCAGTCCTGATAATGATGATGGTTCCAGTTTTTGAGGTAATATAAACAGCCACAGAAAAATTTTAACAGAGAAAAGTTACTAAAATAATCACTTTTTACTTTGGAAGCTTGGGTTTCTTCCAGGTAGAACAATTTTCCTTTCAGCCCTTCAACAACTCCCTTCATTGAAAGAAAAAATGCTCTATGTACATAGACAACCTTAGCGTTTCTTCGGGATTTTTCTGCAGATAGACCACTTTGCCATTGAGGCCTTCAATTAACATATCGATGAACATTTAAGGATCTTCTCAACACTTTTACTGCAAGTGGGAATGCCAATGCCATTGACTAACGTTTTCCAGGATAAGCCGAATCACGTATTTGGCAGAAAATGTTACCATTTTTAATGTCTCTACCCAGGCACTGGTTCGTTCTGCGTACCCGGAATCTTCTTTCTTCAGAAAACTCTTTTGGCTTCTGGTATATCTCATCGCAACTGGCTACATGCTCTACGGAATCATCGATATCATCAATGCATATTTGTCTGGCCCAATAACTACGAATACCCAGGTATCACGATCTTTCTCATCTGACATCGTCTCTAAATTTGAACCTGGAATGTTACTGATATACTTGTCATAATTAATCTAGATGGAGTTACAGGACTCTCTTCCCTTCCCAGCCGTCACTCTATGTCCTCAAAAACCTAACCCCTTCATGCCATACGATTTTTCTGGACTCTTCAGTCCAATGGAGTTTCTCATTCAGAACGAATGCATTCATAGATCGGTGTTCAGCCAGTTATGGAAGCCACATGACACAGACCAATCAACAATGACAACTTTGTCGCATCTCTTCAACGATATGAACCAGACACCGAAACAGGACGGAGAGGAGATATGCGTTGCACCGTTCGCTGATTTGGACAGTGAGTTGAGAAGTCATTTCCTTTCTTCAGCAAAATATATGTTCGTCCACATACCTTATTAATAAATTACGGCAATGCTTCCACTAAATGAAAGAAGAGAACTATCTCATTTGACACCAGTTAAAAATTAAAATCACTTTTCAGAGTAAGTTTTACATATTATTAGCACACGTCGCAACGTTTTCCCAAGATTCTTTCGTTACAGAACCGTGGGAATTTTCTTCGCAGTTGATTTGTTGCGGAATGGTATGATCACTTTCGAGGAGTTGGTCCAAAGTACTCCAAACAAGGACCTTCTTGTTGGCTACGTGAAATCGGAATACGCGAAGGACGTGAATCCTTCGAGTATTGAGAAATCCATACTCCATTGCAGCTTCAATGAGGAGCCTTGCCGTGATACGTAAGGAAAACTTTTCTTCACCAAACGAGAATGTACTGAGTGGTCCCGAAAATTTAGCTATGACCGTTTCGGTCATAACCACCATGAAAGGAACGAGATTCCAGAGTACAGATGAGATCAAATCGAACGTGACAGCAAGCTTAAAGGCGATACCAAAAGAAGAGTTCTCTCGATGTTTCCAACAATGGCAGGGACGCTGGAATAAGTGTCTGTGCCCAAGGCACAGACACTTATTCCAGCACTTCGAAGGTGATTAAATTATTTTTTCTTCATACTTTTGTAAAACAAAGATGTTAAAATAATACGAACTTTTTGATCACCCCTCGTATAGGAGTTTCTGTCGATGAAGACCTCAAGTTTTTCTCCCACGCGCAAGCGACCGTGGCCAAATGTAACAGGATGCTAGGTTTCATTCGTCGTTCAGTTGCAAGAGAGAACTCGCGCGTTATTCTTCCGTTGTATTTTCTGCTGATAAGACCTCAGTTGGCATATTGCATCCAGTATTGGAAGCCTACAAATGTGAGTGATTTGTTGGCGGTCGGGGGGGGGGGTCACAAGAACGATCAAGGAGGTTAGGGAACTTTCGTGCGAGAAGCGTTCAGAAGTGCTGGGACTGTTCTCGCTCGAACGAAGGCTAAGGAGGGGCGACCTCATCCAGGCTTTCGAGGTAATTAAAGGAATAGATAATGTCGAGTGCGGTAGGTTCTTCCAGTTCGATGACACCAAGAGAACGAGAGGTAATCAGCTCAATTGACGTAAACCGCAGGTGTGGCTCAGGCTGAGACAGGACGTTTTACTTGAAGAGTGGTGACCGCATGTAATGCGCTAGACGAAGACCGTAGTGGCTGCCCCTTCCATGACTATTTTTATGAAGGGACTATATGCTTTGATGGACGAGCAAGAAGGGGGCAATGCTGATTTAAGAGACTAGGCAATAAGCAAATAGGACAGCCAACAAAAAAGTTGAAATTATTTAGCTTCAAAAGAAATAGGCCTACCTTAAATATAAGGAACGCTCTACTTTGACGAATGGAATCCAAATGGGTGTTATCGCCTCTTGATACCAATAAACTACCTTGAACCTTGAATCATATGCCGTTGTTTTCTATCTTTCAGTGTATGGTCATAGGATGCCATGCTTACGCAATTTTTTATTGAATTGACCGCATCATGGAATTGGCCTGTTGTGACTATTACATTCTTTGGTACTTTCAGTGATTTCAATGTCGAGAATTTTGAAGCGAGTGGTAATTGCCTTACCTTCAACAACCACTGGAACAAAAAAGTATGGCGTTTGAGCTCCTCATATGCCGGAATGAACGTGAAAGTGTCACATTGGGTAATATCATTTTATCGGTTAGACCCAGAGTAGTGTAAGTAACATATTCTTTTACCGTCTCAAATTAAGCAGCAAGGGCTTCGGCTGTACCTGGCACCAAACCCGGACAGCTTTCCATCAGTCGGTGGATACAGGGTCTACATTCGGCAACCTCAGGATACTGAACTTCCTGTTGATGAAGGATACGACGTAAACTTGGGAATGCTTTCCAATTTCGGCCTCAAGACGGTGGAGTTAGACAGAATTCCCCCTGAAGATGGCGGGAATTGCGCCCCTGATTCCTACCTTCTGAATCGATTCGACCCCAACATCTTCAGTGTCACAAATGAAACAGCTTATTCCAAGGAGGTAGGCACCTTCCGTTATTACGCATTTCTGATCCTTAAATTCTTATTTTCCTTGTCCCTTTCCCTCGTTTAGGAATGCCAGAATTTTTGCGTTCCAGCCCAAATGCTGCAGGACTACGCAGTCAGCTGCCTCTCCATCGACAAGGATATATCTCTTCTATTAAACACCGACAACCCGGCACTGGCCATGGAATGCAATGGGAGTGAGAATTTCGAACCTATGCTTCATTTTCCCAAACGTCCTTGCATTCCTTGTTTCTTCGCTTTCCGCACAGAATGTGAAAAGAAAATGGCTACATATCATGAATGTTTTGTGAATTTGGCTTTATGCTTTTCTCTTGAGCAAGGTTTTACTAATGGTTCCTGCAGCACTAGATAACTTCGACTCGGACAGGGAAAAGAAGGAGAATGATGCAGATCATTCCTGTGGTTGCCCTCCTCAGAGCTGCACGTGAGCCTCAATTTGTATGCAACCTTCATCTTCGAGTATGCGAACTCAAAACAACATGCTCTGGTGATTTAGGGAGAGGACCATCGAGAAGAGCTATTCAACGACGAAGATGGGCAGCGATGACTCCTTGCTCGTGGACCTCGTTGCATGGGTGCGGAATGAATTGAAGAATACGAAAGAAAGCGAGCTCAGAAACAGGACATACTGTCGTCGTCCCAAGTTCGCATTATGTGGTCTTTCTCTTAAGAAAGTGAAAATTTGGTCAAGAATAATTGCATAGTTGCATAGTTTGCTTTGCCAACTCTTTTCCTAACAGATGTTTCTGAATAACTAATGATCACGTGATAAACGCACGCATGCATTACATCGGATGTGTAATCAACGCTAAAATCACTCAATATTTCCAATTTGACCAGGTAATGATGAACGCAATGCTAACGATGGTAGCCATAGGCATGGGACATTCAAACGCCAAATAGTGGAATAGAGGTATACATTTTCTACTCCAAGGGTGTTTAAATTGGGAATTTTTATTTATCAATACGTTCAAAGGATATCCTAATTATAGAGATATTGCATGCTCTTTCCCAGCATAGATTCTATGGAATCATGAAGGTAATGCAACTTTTTAACCCTCACTTGCTGTCCGCTCTTAAATGATGTCAGGGATGTCTGTGGTATCTTTCGACTTCTGTTCACGGTTACATTTGGCTAGATTCATGCTGGCAGCGCGAGTCAGATGAGGTAATTATCATTTATTGGCAATACAAAACATATAAAAAAAATAACTTCATGAACGAGAGAACATCCGATATTCATTTGGGTAAGGCAATACATGAATTGTGATGATTTCAGGAGTTTTCTTCCCATAGGGCCGAAAGAGACATAAGGCAGCAAGGGAGGTTTAATTTGGAAATTGTTCAACCTGGCATCATGGGATTTATTATGTAACTTTTCGAGGTGACATGATTTTTATCTAAGTACAATTAATTTTGTTCAATCAAAATCGTTTTATTTAGAATAAGTATTTCATAATATTCGCAATCCCACGAACTTCTATTCAGAACATGCAATTTCATTTTGGAATGGGAAACGGATTGAAAAATTTTGAGACCCGCAACTTGTGAATTTACTATATTCAAAACAAATTCCAGATTTCTCATTTAAAAAAACTTTGATGAATATTCAATGTAAAAAGATTAGGTTACTAGCACTGCAATGGGTAATATAATAAAATATGGACTTGCAGGCAACATCTGCTTTAAGATGAGAACATTGCATTCTCCTTTCTGCTTAATTACCGTATTTCCTCAGTGAACAAGCGGCTGTGGTGCACGTCTTCTACGAGACCATATCCATAGAGAAAACAACTGAAACTCGGCTGTATCCAGTGAGTCGAACGATTTTAGAGGTTTCAACCTGAAACTTTCGCCTAACTCAGAAATTGCCTCCAACCTGATTGCAACTCTAATTCCCTCGACAGTGGTCGAGCTTCATTGGAACATTGGGAGGATTGCTGGGTCTCTACACTGGGATGTCTTTTGTGTCTGTCCTGGAAATGTTCGAGTGGATCTTCGATATCGCCTTGTACGGTTGGAAGAAACCCCGACATGACAAGATGGGACCGAAACGGCGAGCTATCATTGCCTGTGAGCTGATATTAATTTGATACGTGAGCCGTATCGACTCCAATTTGGAACCCTACATTTTATTGATACAATACATTTTCTTCATCCCCCATTGGCGCGGTAGGGAAAAACGAGGATTTTGAAGCGTCTGGAGAGAACCATCCTCGAGGAGTACAGGCTTGGAAAGATATACCGGTCTATGATAGTCCCCCCCTCAAGGACACTCGGGGATCTGCATTTGATCTTCTATTCTCCGATCATCTCAAATGAATTTATGGATTTTTTTTCCCATGTAGCCTCATTCATGCACAACTTTTTTCAATCTCATTCCTCAACAGTCTGATATCGTCCAATTGCTTTTGCATGGAGAATTTTCTGTCGGTTTCAGTTTGATTAATCGTGGTTTGAAATTATTGGTCTCCATAACTGAACAAGAAAATGAAGAAGAAATATCCAATAGCTCACACATTCTTCTTTGTTTCAGAGCATGATTAAATAATTGGTAATTTTTCAAGCTGTACAGAAAATGAATTAATGGAGAAATCCTCACAATATGAGGCAATTATTCCGATTATTGAAGGAAGGAATACTTCCCTGCAATCACAATTTCAATGTTACACCAAATGATTCAATGCAATAAACCAGGTATCTGCCCCACGAAGCCCAAGAAATTCACTGGTAAGATACAAAGATCAACAACCTCATTATGCTTTGCATCATCCTGAATCCACTCATCTAATCTTTTTTTAATTGATGGATCTATGAATCTCTTTTTTTTTCAGTCTTACAAGAGACACTTCGCTATTGATAATTTCAGATTTTCATCAAACTTTGATCATTGAATGGGCTCTCAAAAGGAAGTCAACTGGCACCAAAACTTGTGGCTGAGAAACAGGTTTAGGCTCATAACTGACTATCTCGATTTTCAGTGATATATGATTATTATAACTTTATATTATTAAATGATTAAATGATTACATTATATTATTATATTATTATATTATTGGGTTGGAAAGAAAGTCTTGCAACACTTTCTAAAACTATTTCTAAAATTTTTTCGAAGGAATCATGGGCGAGGCTTTGCATTTGTATATGCTGGAACTTTCTCAAAGCTTCTGCCCTCGGGGTATANGAGAAGAAGGTTCTTCTCTGCTGTCGGTGGGATTCAGAAGGAATGCTGTACTATGAGCTCCTGCCAACCGGTACCACCGTGACTGCCGTCGTCTACGCTGCTCGACTTCAGAAGTTGGCTGGCGTCATTCAAAAAGAGCGTTCCAAACGCGACCAAGTTCTCCTTCTGCATGACAACGCTCGTCCACGTGTTGCGAAGATGACTCGCCAGACGATTTCGGAACTGGGCTGGGAAGTTTTACCCCATCCAGCGTATTTTCCGGACTTGGCCCCTTCCGACTATCACTTGTTCCGGGCCCTCGAGAATCACCTGTGGGATGAGGCCTTCGACGATCGAGCACAGCTCGAAAATGATGTCGGCCGTTTCTTCGCTTCGCAATCGCCAGAGTTCTGGGCTAAGGGCATCGAACAGTTACCCGTGCGTTGGGAACATGTCATAGAAAACAATGGTCATGACATTGTAGACTGAAATTGCATTTTAATAAAGTTATACAATTTTGAAAAATTTGCGCAGTGTTGCAAGACTTTCTTTCCAACACAATATATCAGATGGCTATACAGGCTGTTTTGGTCGCAATGTACATTTTACAAATAAAAATTGTGCATGGGAGACTGTATTTGGAAGCTGTCCAGTTCCTATAATGTTTCGATCATTCTTAATGAATGTGGAGCTATAAATGGTTCATGTATAAGCTACTTATATGGTGCTTAGTTGCAAGTTATATCGCACACATAACAATTTAGTATGTTTTGATCGCATTTAATATTTTGGATATACCCTGTATGTAACTATATATAATAATATACATGTCTCTTACACGGTTCTTAATTTGCAATATACAGTAGATGGCCCCCAATGCATTATTAATGGCATGAATTGAGGCAGAGGCTCAGAGGCCGAGTCGCTCAGCATCGAAACTTTCACATGTGCTTTTGTGACTCACCTGACAAGGGGAACCTCATTTCCTCTATGCACTAATCAAGAATTACCTGGAGTCTCCTTAAGCTAGGTTACGTCTCTCAACATATGCATCGATTAAAACGATTTCATTTCTTCCTTTTATACGTGGGAAATTCCCGAGTTGAGGGTGAAAGCTTCTGCAGCATTCATTAGCGTTTGGGGAATCGGGAGACATAGCGGCTTGATGGGCGATAATATTGTTAGAACTTTGTATTTATTGAACAAACTGCTACATGTCAGGCCATATGGAAGGCCTCAACGTGCATATGTGTGCATCCATGGACATTACATGGACTGAACAGTGTCAAGTATTAGATAGGAGACGACCCCTAATCAATACACGACTGCAGGATTATTAGGTAATCTCGGGTTCGGTACAGCATATTCAGGAAAGAAAATCCACCATCGGAATTTCAAAATAATTACACATTTATATTAATATTCAAAGGTTTAAAATAAAAGGGATGATGAAATAAAATATCGGAGGGACAAAAGACACAACACCAGAAACACCAGAAAAACGTCTCAGGCAAATCTCCATTTGATCCCCGCCCCACCCCACAAGCTGCTCCTCGCTCTTGCTCTCGCTATACCTCTCTCTCTCCCAAAAATCTCTTCGACCTCCTTCGACTCCTCCTTTTCCCCCGGGTCTTCCCGGATGAAGCCGATAAGGTTTTCCGTTCTAGAATATTAGTCCGGATGTCTCATCCTGGGGCATTATCGTCCAACAAGGTCAGGATAGCCGTTGCCCCGGAGAAGGGCTGCCATTCCAGATTATTAATCAGGGCGTCTCGCCCTTGGACATTTTCAGTCACGAAGGGGTGTACTGTTCAGGATATCCGTTCCCGGAGAAGGGCTGCTTTTATCTTTCTATTACATCCTGTGTCTTGTATCGGGTCCCTAGGTACGACCTTCTTAATGAGCTTTTTAATATGCTTCAACAGTTTCCCAATATATTCTAAATACAGTATTTTTTCCGCATAGTTCATGTTAGTGTCAAATATTGCAAACCTAGCACCATATATGGGGGTCTGTATATGAATCATATTTCCATCCACGTTCAATATTTATTAAGAATGGCCAAAACATGATACGGACTGAACTGTTTCCAAACATGGCTAAATTCAGTACGGTACGATCCGATACATACACCTGTATTTGGAAGTTCTGTGAGGGACATTACTGCACTGGGAGTTTCACCATCTCTTGGTGGGAATGAAGTGAATGCTAGATGTATTCAATGAGCACCTTGAAAATTGCTTGAAACGCGGCAATACTTTTGTTTTGCTATTGAACATTTTTTCACTCGCCTTCTTAGCTGAGCGAAGGGTAGAGGGATTCAAAGAGACTCTTTAGCCGGTTTTTCCTGGAATACACCAGGTGGCCCAAAAAAAACGCGTCGTGTTTGACGCCTGATAAAACCCTTTATGGATGATCTAGGTTCGTGATATTTTCATATTACATTGGAAGCACCACAAAATTTGTTTTCTGGAAATTTCATGTACCTAAGTTGTTGGAATAAATATCGGCAATTGCTCAAAGTGGAATCATCAAATGGACTTTTCCGCGCACGAGAATGGAGATTCAGAACTGCCCGAATGATTTCGCTCCCTCGACGTTATGAATACCGCTTTTTATGTCAGTTCTCATTGTAGTATTCTATACATGTTAGAGTAGTATTACTGTTGTATATCATAGCATCAGAATCGATACCATGCAGAATACATGGGACGAAACGTCCCATGGCAGGCACAGGGAAGATCAAGAAAATAGGTAAAATTCCTGACGAATTTTTTAGTATCAAAATGGGTTGCTAGTAATTTCAGTATCAGGGATCAGGGATCAGGAAGCAGTAAATTTGGAAACGTTTTTCTTTGTGGCTTTTACAATGACTCTATCCCTGTAGAGATTCGCAAGCAATACAATCCAACCAAAAATTCTCCAACGCAATAAATTTAATCCTTTAGCCATTTTAGACAATTACTCCTATTTCTACAATGTCAGCATGAACCACAACCAAAGATAGCACATTTTGCTCTTAAAGCAGGATTCATCAGATGTAACTCATGTAACTCAAGCTCTTCACACTCATATTCTCTCAGCATCAGTTACTATGAACTGCAAAACTAGGAAAACAGGATTAGCTAATAATGGCATTCTCAAATCCAAAGATTAATATCCCTGATAAGTGAATATTGTATGTGATGTGCACAGTATAGTAAAGTGCATAGCTGCTACATTATAGGCATATTGAAGACCACTACACTGTCATGGAATCAAGTAAGCCCTTTTGGATAATTTAGTAGATAATGGAGAGCAGTAAGGATTTACTTTTAGCTTCAGTTTACCCATTCAGCTCTTCAGATTATAATAAATTTGTACCTCAATATCACGACGAAAAACTTAAATACTATATTGTTATATGAGTGAGCCAATAATTCCAATATACTGGGCTATCCATAAGTATGTGATGGTTCCTATCCCTTGAAACATTGCATTTAAAATATAACTGACAAATTATGCAGAAATTCAAATATGTGGAGAATTTATGGACTAGCAACATAATTTTGTGAATGCTCTGCTCTCCTCAAAAACCAGAATCAACCATGCGAAAACACATGAAATTGGACCTGCAAGTGAAATGTTGGCGTCCATTGAAAGTTAATGAATTAACAGATGCTGATATGGACAGACGTGTGGACGCTTGTGCTCTGATGCTG